CCTCCCACCGACCACCACCCCACCCTCAACGCGCGTGCACGCTCTCAGACTTCTGGTATCGATTCTTCAACTCGGCTCGCGCGCCAGAGCACTCACTCGTGCACCCGTCTCGCGGCTCGATAAACAGTCGATACGCGGTTCTCTCTCTCGTCCGCTCACCACGGCGCGTGCTGTTGCGCTGGCAGGGTCTACTCCCCGCCTTTGAGCCGCGCCTAACCTTTTACTGCCTCGCTCCGTCTATACACAAAGCCGTTTTTTTTCCACTGTGACGTACTTGAAGACTAATTTCTTCGATCATTTCCATCAACATCAATTACAGAGGGAAGCAGCAAATACCAAGGGTGCTGATAATTGTCCTCGTGTCTTGTCTATATATATAGATCTGCAATTGCATGATGGATAAAGACGAAGCCAACTCCACTTTCCGTGGAAACGCCAGCCAGGGAGGATCTAAAGGACCGAGTTTCACAGCGGATAAAGGCAAAAACAAGATGGCGGCGAAAACGAACAAAAAGTGGGTGCGTCTGGCCACTGTGTTGGCGTATGTCCTGGCAGTGTCCCTGGCGGCAATAGTGCTGGCCACATACTACAGTCTTATCTGGGAGCCCCGACTTCGGACCAAGACCACAAACACTTCGCCCATTGAAGGAATGAACAACACATCAGAACCCACCCCGAACGCTACACTACAAGAGAGGCCATAGCCTCTCAGCTAGGGATCTGGGGGAGGACACTCGATTGATGCAGTGGTGAGTTTTGTATTTAATAATACGTTGTTTTTCATTGCCTTCTTAATTAATATACTTACATCCACCAACTGACTTTACTATCAACCCAAGGGTTTTGATATTTTAAAATGCTTTACTTGCTCAGGGATGAAATCCTAGTTTGTTTGTTTATTGTTGTTTTTTCATTCATGGCATGTTTTTTCAGCTGATAAAATGACATGTTTTATCCTTGAGCTCTTGCTATATAATAATCAATACAGTTTTATTTCAAGTGAATTAGCAAAACGCGTTTGTAAGGGCCAGGTTTGGCAAATTGTTTCTTTTAGGCCCATACACAGATGCACTGTTGTGAGGGCTAAACTGCTATAATTTTAATTTTTGCTGTAGAACACACACATATATATACATGG